TATGGGCTTTTATTAATATTCTTTTTCATTGATGGCCCATTAGTAAAAGGTTTCCTTTGTCCTTAAATAAAAGAAAAAGATATTGGGCCGGCTTCCAAATACATTCTTTAAGAGATAGACCTTATTTTTTGGTCCATTTACAAAATATGGTACAAACAATAACACGTTGGACCAAGCAAAGCAAATAATAATCCATATGTATCAAGTTAACCAAACAGATTCAACAACGAAAGTGCGAAGGAGAAGCGCGCTGTAAATTGTCGAGTCGTTTATTGCTTTGATTTACTGTACATAGGAATAGGAATGCGTAATTGATGGTTTGTTTTGTCGTTTATTGGATAATCATTGTATTTCAGGACAGTCAAGGGCAGCACTTGGTGGCACGAAACAGACAACTGCCTGTATCATTATTAGAGCAAAGGAAGGGAAATGAGGCGATGTCATGTCCCTTCCAAGAAAATCACAGCTAATCTGTTGAGAGTAACATAGACGTTTCCTTAATTGAGTAGAAAGTAAATACGTTTAGTATGTGGTTAAATGAATTGAGAGTCAAAGAGATAAAGATGGATTAATGTAATTTAGGTTCATTATTAGCATTAAATTTGGGGGATGAAACATTAGCTAGGAGGACCTGTGTGTTTCTTCAGTTGTATCAAGTATGAAAGTTTTATATGAGAATAAGAGTTTATGGCAGTTTGGTTCTTCTCTCGAAACGTTGTGTTGGACTTTTACCTGCCTCAAAATCTAGTAAGCTATTAGAAACACGCAAAGAAGTACCAGTCAAATAAGCAACAATTTATCATTCCATTATCACACAAATATCATTAATGCCATAAAAAAATCACATGCGAGATATCAAATCAATACTGGAATTCATTCATATAGAAAGGATACATTCAATATTAAAAATGGAAAGTCTGCATGTTGTTTTTCCCTGAACTGTAGTGAAATGAGGTTCATACTTGAGTGCCGTTTTCTTCTTCCTATTATACGATCGATGAGTCAAGAACGCGATTTCTATCATATTTTATAGATGTTTAATGAACCATGTAAATATTCAAGTTTACCCAACAAATTTCATATAGAGAGGCTGCCCAAGACGAAGTAATTGAGGTTAAATTTGTTTTCTACAATTTTGTTTGCCATAAATAATTAGACACATTAATGTGCAAAACATTTTTGTTGGTTGAACTTGAGATTTGCAGGGTTTTTAAATAGAAACCTATATATTCGTTGTCTTTATCACTTGACTTGGCTGCTATTGAGAGTTTGAGAGGCCTTAGAACGAGCGTTTTCATTGGTTTTAACTAAGAATTACAAGATAACTTATTAAAGGAGCCATTCAACTCAATGCACGTGATTGGAAAACTAATTCAATTATGTTTGTTTTTTAGTATGCACAGCTTTCTCATAGACTTTTCTCTGATCAATGGTCCCTCCACTTTGATGTTTTTGGGAGAAAATATATTGGAATTATGTACTGAAATGAAATTGATGGAAAGTGAGAGGTTACTCTTTGCGTGACATAGGGGTTCAGAAGTGTCCTACCTGAATGCTTGACACTATGTCACATGGTATACATAGGTAACAAGCTTCAACAAATGCGGCCTCTCCAAACAGAAAGATACTAAGAAAGGTTTTGTGCATGAATGGTCCTTGAATTTTTCAAAAGTCCTCATTTGAATTCTCAAACTTTCGAATCAATCAATGTGATCCTTAACCCTCTGTTTGGATGAAGAAATTGAAACCCTGAAAAACACAGGAAAAAAATACATATGTTGCTCAACAAGGCTGTGTACTCTCCTTGATGAAACCTAAATGTGGAACCTTGAATGGAAATCAGATGAGTTCGTTGAGGAAAAATTTGAGTTCTAGGACTAAATTGATCTATATTTTGATGAAATAAGTTGGTTAGGTGATGATACGCGATTAGCTTTAACAAAGTTTTGTTGGAATGCAACAACAAAGACCTAAATTGATGTGACACCAAAATATAAAGGACTTATTAATGATTTGAACGTTTGAGGACTAAAATAAGAACTTTTAAAATAGAGTACCTAGCCATAATAAAAACCCGTCCTGAGAAACTTGTTTCATTGTTTGACGAGATTGTGGATGACATTCATGCCAACGTATTATCGTCACAACAAGAGGAGAAGACTTCCCTTGCTTTTTGATGCCAAAGAGCTATCCATATGTTACTGCAATGGTATTTTCCTATGGTCAAAATGGTCTGTCAATTTGGTTGTGCCCTCCCTCCACCCTCTGTATTCTCTATGATTTCTCTACTCTCATTTAAAAAGGGTTAATCATTTATTAGTCCCTGAATTTAGAACCGATTTGCATTTGAGTCCCTCAATTTCCAATATGTAATTTTTTCCTTTGCTTTTCAGGGTTTCAATTTCTTCATCCAAACAGAGGGTTAAGGATCACATTGACTGATTGGAAAGTTTGAGAATTCAAATGAGGACTTCTGAAAAAATCAAGGACCATTCATGACAAAAACCTTTCTCAATATCTTTCTATTCGGAGAGGCTGCATTTGTTGAAACTTGTTACCTACGATATACCATGTGACATATGTCAAGCATTCAGGTGGGACACTTTGAACCCCTATGTCACGCAAATAGTAACCTCTCACTTTCCATCAATTTCATTTCAGTATGTAATTCCAATATATTTTTCTCCCAAAAAACATCAAAGGCAGGGACCATTGATCAGAGAAAAGTCTATGAGAAAGCTGTGCATACCCAGTGGCGGATCTGTGTGAAGGGCGGGGTGGGTGCCCGGCCATCCAAAGATTTTTTTATCATTTCGAAACCTATATATGTTATATGGGCAGCCCAAGTTAAGAGCTTAAAAGCTAACCCAATATACACACAGGCCCATCCAACTTCAAAGTGGTCCTAGCTTTTGTCTCTTTTCCTTTGGTAAACCAACTTTTCTCCCTTTTCTCTTTATATCTACAGACCCGCCGAGGACAACAACAACATCCTTTTTACACCTCTTTATTTTCTGCATCTTTCTATTATCTGGCTGGGTAGTGGGCAACTACTAGCTTGTCCTCTCCTTTCTATAACCAGAAATAATTTCTAATTCTCTCATTTTTCTATATATCTTTAATTATAGTTTTAATTTAAAACTAATATTTTAGGGTTTTATTTATGTATAGATGTATTTGAGGGTAAGGCTTATTATCATCCCTCTAACTAGGTGTATGTTTTTCTGATTATTAATGAAACTCATCGTACGTCAAGTTTAGTGTAAATTCCGCCCACCAGGCTTTCCATTTCTGGATCCGCCACTGGTGCATACTAAAAAACAAAACATAATGAATTAGTTTTCCAATCATGTGCATTGAGTGAATGGCTCCTTTAATAAGTTATCTTGTCAATTCTTAGTTAAAACCAATGAAAACGCTCGTTCTAAGGCCTCTCAAATCTCCATAGCAGCCAGTCAAGTGATAAAGACAACGAATATACAAGTTTCTATTTATACCCCTACAAATCTCAGTTCAACCAACAAAAAGTTGTGCGCATTAATGTCTTAATATTTATGGGCAAACAAAATTGTAGGAAAACAAATCTAACCTCAATTATGTTGTCTTGGGCAGCCTCTCTATAGAAATTTTATTAATAGGGTTAATGAATTTTAAATGTGTTTTTATAATAAAAAAATATATTGTTGGGGTGAACTTGAATATTTACATGGTTTAATTAAAAATCTATAATATATGATAGAATCGTGTTCTTGGCTCATGGGTAATAATAGGAAGGAGAAAACGGCATTCAAGTATCAACCTCATCTAAAGTTCAGCGATTTTTATGGCATTATGATATTTGTGTGATAATGGAATGATAAATGTGTGCTTATTTGACTGGTACTTCAATTACGCATTTCTATTCCTTTCTGTATGAATTTATCCAATAACCCGATGTTTTTGTACAGTAAATCAAAGCAATAAACGACTCTACAATTTATGGGGTAGCGTAGCTCTGCTCAAGTCTGGTGAGAGATTAAAGAGGGAAAAAAGAAGAAGTTGAAAATGGACTATTATGCTTCTAAGGAGTAAAGCCACGTGAGTTTAATTTCTGATTCGCTTAAGGCAACTGAGAATAGCCATGCACCAAGAAAAAATAATAAATTAATGTGCCAAGCACATTATTCAAGCATATAGCTAGTGATGAGCTGTCACTTCCATCCATTTTCATTTCATTAATGACATTTAACTATAACTATAAAGAACGAGAGACAAAGACTTTGACTCCAGCCATTATAAGAACAACCACTGAGGTGAAAAATAACTTATTCAAGAGCACAAGGAATAGGCTTTTTGCACGCAATTTGTATCTAAATTTCATCACTATGTTATCTTCTTTATTACCATTCTAACAATGACAGCAAGCTCAATCAATAGTAAAAAAGACTTGGCCTGACTTTGAGGAATGGGAGATTTGAAGTAAACAAATAACTCTTTGTCAAGCATCAGGTGGGTGGGACACATCTAAACCCCTATGTCATGCATAGGGTTATCTCTCACCTCCATCAATTTCATTTCATTATTTCATCCAGAAAATTCAAAATTGGCATTAAATTTAGAGAATGAAAGACTGAGACCTTTACTCAAAAGAAAACTGATCCGAAAGACTTTTCAATGCTCAACTGAACCCTAAAGACTAACCCACACTATATATAAATAGTAAGGCACGGCCCATACAATATACGTATACCACACAAACAATAATCATGACATCTTTAGCTTCCGCTAAACTATGCTTCATGCCTTATTGCCTTGTCATCTTGTTTGTTTCATCACCAAATTGGGGTTGCTTTTCCTTCTGCTACTTCTACTTCTCATACTGAAGCAAAGGCTCTTCTCAAATGGAAAGCCAGCTTATTTCTAAATCAAGCCCTCAATAACCTCACCTGGTACGACCCTCCCACTCATAATATTAATGCCACCAATTCTTCCAGCACCAATCCAAAACCAAGAACAAGCCCATGCACTTGGACTGGTGTTTCATGCAACGCAGCTGGAAGTGTCAGCAAGCTAAACCTTTCCACTGTGGTATTCAAGGTACGCTATATGAGTTTTCATTCTTGTCCTTTCCTAATCTTGAATATCTTAACCTCGGTGTCAACAAACTCTTTGATGCCATCCCACCTCAAATCAATACCTCTCCAAACTCCACCATCTTGATCTCTCCCAAAATCAGTTTTTCCGGGAGAATCCCACCAGAAATCGGTCTCCTGAGAAATCTTACCTACCTCTATCTCTATCGTAATAAACTTTCTGGTTTGATTCCTAAGGAGATAGGAAACTTGAAATCTCTTGTAGATCTAGAGTTGTCCCACAACAATTTAACTGGTCTCATTCCTCCAAATATTGGTAACTTAATAAACCTAACACACTTTGTACTTGCATTCCAATCAACTTTCGGTTTGATTCCTAAGGAGGTAGGAAACTTGAAATCTCTTGTAGATCTAGAGTGTCCTACAACAATTTAAGTGGTCTCATCCCTCCAAATATTGGTAACTTAATAAACCTAACCACTTTGTACTTGAATGACAATCAACTTTCTGGTTTGATTCCGAAGGAGATAGGAAACTTGAAATCTCTTATAGATCTGGTTGTCCACAACAATTTAACTGGTCCCATTCCTCCAAATATTGGTAACTTAATAAACCTAAACACTTTGTACTTGCATTCCAATCAACTTTCTGGTTTGATTCCTAGGGACATAGGAAACTTGAAATCTCTTGTAGATCTAGAGTTGTCCTACAACAATTTAAGTGGTCTCATCCCTCCAAATATTGGTAACTTAATAAACCTAACCACTTTGTACTTGAATGACAATCAAACTTTCTGGTTTGATTCCCAAGGAGATAGGAAACTTGAAATCTCTTGTAGATCTAAGGTTGTTCGATAACAATTTAAGTGGTCTCATTCCTCCAAATATGGTAACTTAATCAACCTAACCACTTTGTACTTGGATGACAATCAACTTTCTGGTTTGATTCCCAAGGAGATAGGAAACTTGAAATCTCTTGTAGATCTAGGGTTGTCCCACAACAATTTAAGTGGTCTCATCCTCCAAATATTGGTAACTTAATAAACCTAAACACTTTGTACTTGCATTCCAATCAACTTTCTGGTTTGATTCCTAAGGAGATAGGAAACTTGAAATCTCTTGTAAATCTAGCTTTGGAGCAGAATCAACTCAACGATTCAATTCCAGCCTCTTTTGCCAACTTGAGCAACTTGGAGATCTTAGTCCTACGCGATAACCAACTTTCCGGCTCCATTCCCCAAGAGTTAGAGAATCTCAAGAATTTGACTCGACTGCACTTGGATACAAACCAGTTGTCTGGTTATTTGCCCCCAAATATCTGCCAAGGTGGAAAACTCACAAACTTGTCAGTAGAAACAAACAATTTGACTGGTTCAATCCCCAAAAGCTTGAAAAATTGCTCGAGCTTAGTGAGAGTTCATCTTGAGCAAAACCATTTGACGGGCAATATATCTGAAGACTTCGGTGTTTATCCGAATCTTGATTTTATGAACATAAGCCATAACAACTTGTATGGAGAAATCTCACACAACTGGGGACAATGCCCAAAGCTAAAAACCCTACTAATGGCAGGAAACAACCTTACTGGTAGCATACCACTTGAGATAGGCAACGCAACCCAAATTCATATGCTGGACTTTTCTTCAAATCATTTAGTTGGGTTGATCCCAAAAGAATTCGGGAAGTTGTCTTCATTGGTGAAGTTGATGTTGAATGGAAATCAACTTTCGGGTCGTATACCGTCAGAATTCAGATCATTGAATGATCTTGAATATCTTGACTTGTCAACAAATAAATTCAATGACTCAATTCCGGGGATTCTAGGTGACTTGCTCAAATTATACCATCTGAATTTGAGCAACAACAAGTTATCTCAAGCAATTCCTTCACAGTTGGAGAAGTTAGTTCAATTAAACGAACTGGATTTAAGTCATAACTCACTTGAAGGTAGCATACCATCAGCAATGAGCAATATGAAGAGTTTGGTTACGCTCAATCTTTCCCACAACAATCTTTCGGGTTCCATACCATCAAGTTTTGAAGACCTGGGTGGCTTGTCGTACGTTGACATATCCTACAATCACTTAGAAGGTCCCCTTCCCAACATCAGTGCATTTCGAGAAGCTCCACCAGAAAGATTGAAAGGTAACAAGGGATTGTGTGGCAAAGTTGGAGCTCTGCTGCCACCCTGCAATGCACTTGGCTCAAAAAAGGACCAAAGGGTCATATTCTCTGTTCTAGCTGTATTTGTACTTCTATTCGCTCTTTTTACAATTGTCTTTGTAATAGTGCAAAGAAAGAAGAACCATCAAGATACTAAACAAAACCATATGCATGGAGAAATTTCCTTTTCGGTTTTAAATTTTGATGGAAAATCAATGTATGAGGAAATCATAAGGGCAACAGAAGATTTTGATTCCACATATTGCATTGGGAAGGGAGGACATGGAAGCGTCTATAGAGTGAATTTGTCATCTGGAGAGGTAGTGGCCGTGAAGAAACTCCATCTGCTATGGGATGGCGAGACAGAATTTCAGAAGGAGTTCTTGAATGAAGTAAGGGCACTCAGTGAGATAAGACATCGGAATATTGTGAAGCTCTATGGTTTCTGCGCACATAAACGACACTCGTTTTTGGTGTATGAGTATCTTGAAAGAGGTAGCTTGGCTGCAATGTTGAGCAAAGATGAAGAAGCTAAAGAGTTGGGGTGGAGTAAAAGGGTGAATATTGTTAAAGGCTTAGCTCAAGCCTTGTCTTACATGCACCACGATCGCTTGCAACCGATTGTACATCGTGACATCTCAAGCAAGAACATTTTATTGGATTCTGAACATAAGGCATGTGTTTCAGACTTTGGCACTGCTAAGTTTTTAAATCCAGACTCAACTAATTGGACTACCGTTGCAGGCACATATGGCTACATGGCACCAGGTAATATTTTGATTCCCTGTTCTCTGTATTTAGCACTTTTTAAGCTTTTGCTTTTAGACCAATGCTTCATTTTCATCATTAGAAGCGACTAACATAAACACATTTTCACTTCTTGATTTAGAAAATATACTAATAAACACATTTTCACTTCTCTTAAACTATAAACTAATAAGTTGATTTATGCATGATACAGTTTCGTTAAATTCCATTGAATAGTTATGTCTATAAACTAATAATGCCACTTCTATGATGTTTTCTCTGAGCAGAGCTTGCATATACAATGGAAGTGAATGAGAACTGTGATGTTTATAGCTTTGGTGTGGTCACTTTGGAAATAATTATGGGAAAGCATCCTGGAGATCTTCTCTCATCTTTCTCGTCAGTCTCTTCATCCTTCTCCTCCTCATCATCATCTGCATTACCAGCCCATCAAATGAAAATTGTGGATGTTTTGGACCAACGCATTTCCCCTCCAACACATCAACTTGCGAGCGAAGTGGTCTCTCTTATGAAGGTAGCATTTTCATGCTTGAATTCCAGCCCGAAATCTCGTCCAACAATGAAACAAGTTTCTCATTTCCTCTCAACTGAGATGTTGCTTTTTTCGAAGCCGATACATATGATGACATGTGGTGAATTGCTTGCTCTTGATCCTTTGGCTACCTGATCAGAATGTGCTTCTTTCTTATACAGATTTCATTTTGCCTGTGTCTTCTGTTTAGAAAGATTATCCATAGATGTTTCCTTCTTGTAATTTATTTCATATCCCTAGATGTTTCCTTCTTGCAATTAATTTATTTCATGCACATGTGCGCTATGCTATGACTTTATTTAGGATGCTTTACTGTTTGTTTATCCTTAACATAACATATTTATTGCAGAATTTTCCTTACAGTTTGTTTATCTTTGTAAGGAAAAATAAAATGAAATAAAACAAGGGCTTTGTTTAGGGATCTAGAGCCTCTACATTTAGCATTGGTGCATTTACACGCATTTAATTGTATTGTACTAAACCTCACAACTGCCGCGCACCTTATTATATGTATTTGATTACATTGAAATAAAAAATAAAAATTCAAATCAAGCAGCAACCACCTCTCTCCCCAACCCAGCCCCCACATTGCCAGCCAATTGCGAACCCTGACTCTCTTTTCCACTCACACACGCACGTAGGTCGACTTGGTTTAATTTGCAAGTTTAATTGTAGTAATTGTGCGAATTATTTTTCATTTATTTGCAGATTTGTTAATATGGCGCGGGAGATAGAGAGAGAGAGAGAGAGAGAGAGAGAGAGAGAGAGAGAGAGAGAGAGAGAGAGAGAGAGAGTTGGGTCGAAGAGTTGATGCTTGTTGAGATATATTTTTTATTTTTGTTATTGTTATGATATTTTTAATATTTTATTTCAAAGGTATTTTTAAAAAAAGTATTAGTTACACAAATAAGGTGCAAGGGCCATTCTATATTACTATATATGGATAGTGTAACAGGGGTGAAAAACGCCTTTAATTTTTCGACCCTTGTCCGGCACTTAGACTCCTCTTAAGTCAGTCTTCTCTTCACCTCCAAATCGTGAGGCTTCAGAGTTCACGCAGTGGGATAACGACACAAGTGACAACCAACGCCCACAAATGAGACTTGCCTCACGCAGGAAACTTTCGCACACACCCTTACGGGAAAGTTCCCAACCTTCTATTCACAATAGCAAAGGATTACAAGTTTTCACTTTCAGTTGGATAACCACATCACTTGGTATCTCAACCCTCACCTTCACAAGGTATTTATAAGCCTACACTACGTAGATGACACCCCCATCTACTTAGGAAACCTTGCCAACCGTTAGATTAGCCACCTAGCCACGTTTTTCTCACTCAAAAACCTGTCTAGCAACCACAAGACGCCACCTTGCAGTCCACTCACGTCATGGGCAGATTTTCCTCCTTAAAAATCTCCCCACTTCCTTGGAACCTGCTACCACTATCAAGTAACCGCCCACTAATGCTCCAAGATAAACCACAACTAATGCTCCAAGATAAACCACAACCCAAATTTCAAGCATGTAGCAACTCCTAGCCACGTCCAACCACCCATGGACTGCTCAAAACCGTTTTGCCCACGTCCTAGACCCACTCCAGCACGTTTTTAAGTAAACTGCCACGTCCAGCCAATCTGCCAGCAACCTGCCCGCGTGCGTTGCGCATCATGCAAGCCAACTGCTTGCACAATCTGCCAGCACCATGAGCACAATCTGCCTGCACGAACTGCCAGCACCATGCGCACAATCTGCCAGCCAAACTGCCCACGCACCAGCCCATGCAACTGCCCACGCAACAGCCCACGATCTGTCGACATACGCTGCCCCTTGCGCGCTGCGCTGCACATGCTGCCATGTCTTGGCTGCCAAACTCCAGCCCAAGACACATGTCTTCCGACCTTGTCTAGTGCGCCTCCCAAGCACTCTTGGCTTGCCTTGGCATGGTGCAAAACATCAAAACCATGCCATGGCCTATGCCAACTTGTAAGGGTCTTACAGATAGCTACCAAACACCATATATATATATATATATATATATATATAATATAGAAACAAAGGTTCATAGACCAGAGCCATTTTCGTTTTCGATTTTCTCACACATAGTCACAGAGAGAGAGAGAGAGAGCTATAGTGACGATGTCGACCCTTAGAGTTCCTCAACAAGTTCCTCCTGCATCCCCGAAGACTGTGAGCAGCTCAAAATGGTCTTCAAAGGTTCCTTCTTTATTATTTTTCTGATCTTTTACTCCCTCGCATCATCTCTTGTTCTGATCATAAACAACCCCATATTTTGTAATTGGTTGATCAATCAATTTCACCGATCTGATTGTTAGTGTTAGATACAACGTAAATGATCTGATAATGTAAAAAGGATTCTTTTTGTTTGTGTTTTTTATTTCGTTCTGCTAATTCTCTTTTTACTCTCTCTGTCATCAATAATCTGATGCATCAGATTTGTGTTTTGTGTACATGAGGTTTTGTGGGTTGATGAAAGGCCCATATGAATGTGATTGCTTGCTTTTGTAAAACGGTGATGCTGTCACTCTGCACCAAAGCTCTGTTTGTATCAGAAGAGGGATCATTTATCTAAAAAGAAAAAAACAATGATCGGTACGTATAGATTTATAGCAGGTTTGAAAAAGACCTGATTGGACATGAAAATGGTATTTTGACATGAATAAATAATTATAGAAAACAGCTAAAATGGTTTAGACTAGAGTTTATCTTCTTTCTTATATGCGGCTTTTCATGTTTGGGGTGTTTGTGCGGATGTGTTCATGAGGAAAGGGACCAGATTGGTAGTGGGTAGGTTTTTGGCATTGGGAAACTTAAAATTTGTGATAGTAGGGTTGGCAGAATTATTTTGCAAAAAAATTATGAATGGAGAGAGAGAGAGAGAGAGAGAGAGAGAGAGAGAGAGAGAGAATTAATCTGATACATGGGTGCGATGGGCGTTAAGGGCATTTCCAGGGGCTGGGGGGGGGGGGAGAGCCCAAAAGCAGCTTCCAGCAACAAGTGCTGGCCCGGGCAGTGTGGGGTCCACTTGCTTGGGCTGGCCCGAAGGCGGAGGCAGCCCGAGCGAGAGCCCGAGTGCGAGCTGACGTCATTGCTGATGCCAGCGTGACGTCAGCACGCGGTTGTAAATTTTTTTTACCGTTGGCGCGTGCATTGCACGCGCCAACGTTAAAAAAAATTCAAAATCGCGCGTCAGTTTTTGCGCCCAACGATAATGTGCGACGTGGCAGCCTCTCGTCCTTCCGATTTTGCCTTGTCAGCCAATCCGACGGCCTGGAATTTTTCCAGGCAAAAAATGATGAAAAAAAATCGTAAAATTTTTTAAAAAAATCCCAAAAAATACTGACTTTTTTTTCTATAAATACCAACACCTACTCTTCAGTTTTAACAACAAATTCTCATACATCTTCTCCTTCTCCAACTATTATTCACTTTCTATTCAATATTTTCTTCACTTTTTACTCTAAATTGTTTTCATTTTTAAGTATAATTTTTCTCTATCATTATGGCTTTTTCTCAAGAAACCGGAGGGGCATGGAGCATCATGGAAGATGTCTTGTTGTGTGAGTGTTGGATCCAAATTAGTCATGATCCCATATCGGGTAATGAGATGAAATTCAATCAAATGTGGAAAAAAATTCTTCACGAATTTGTTGAAAGATCGGGTTCCACCCGTACGGAAAGCTTGTCAAGTCGGTGGAAACTTCTCAACAAAGAGTTGGGGAAATGGAGAGATGCCCTCACAAAAGCGATGAATAACCATGCAAGCGGGGAAAATCTAAGCGATGAGGTAATTATTTGTAATTTTCATTTTATTAATTTTAATGTCCTATTAATTTTAATTTTAATGTTTCTTGCAATTGGTATATTTTGTTAATATTTCTTGTATTTCCATATGTATTTAAATGTTTCTTGCATTCTTTATATTTTGTTTTTATTTCTTGTATTTCTAATATTTATATAAATGGTTGTTGCATTCTCTATATGTTTTTAATATTTCTTGTATTTCCATATTTATTTGAATGTTTCTTGCAATTTTTATATATTTTTTTTATATTTCTTGTATTTCTAATATTTATTTGAATGTTTCTTGCATTCTTTATATGTTGTTAATATTTCTTGGATTTTCATTCATATGTTTATCTTTTTTGCATTACCATTTTTTTTTAAGTTCCTTGCTTATTCAATTTTTTTTTATATAGATTGTGCAAGCTCAAATGTTCTATGGTGCTACTGGACTAGGGAAAAAAAGTTTCACCCATACCCAATGTTGGGAGGTGGTGAAGCATTGTAAAAGATTTAGCATTATTCCAACGGCTCCAACGGTGGTGTTAAACGAGACGCCACTTCATGATTCACAAGCTTCGGATTCGCCTATGGAATCCCCTATGAGTGAAGACTTACCCATTCAAAAGGAGCCGAGGCCTATGGGGAGAAAGGCGGCGAAGGCAAAGAGAGGAGTTAATTCTACGAGTAATACCTCTAAATTTTTGGAGGAAATTGCAAGGCAAAGCGCCTTGAGAATTGAAATAGACAAGAAAGTCCAAGAAGATGATAGGGCAATGGCAATAGAATTTGCTAAAGAAAGGGAGTATGTACGCAAAGAAAGGGAGTATCGACGCAAAGAAAATGAAGAAAAGAAGGATCGGGAAACCATGGCTATGGATACAAGCCACATGTCTCCTGAAACAAAACAATATTGGAAGCTAGAACGAAAGGCTATTATGAGACGAAAACTTTTTCGTGATGATGGACCTAGCAATACGGATTGGTTAAATGATGAAAACCCTTAAGTTAGTTTGCTTGCCTTTTCATTTCATTGTATTTTAATGATTTGTTTTAAAAATTAGTTGGAATTCATGTATTTTATTATATTAGTAGTATTGGCTTTCTTTGAGTTACCAAAGAAACTATTAAATAAAATTCCTTTTTATTCAAAACATTCAATGTATAAAAAAACTAACCACAACCAAAGCATTAAATTTGAAAATCTGAAATTTGAAAAAAAAATTTATCTGAAATTTGAAACCGAAAATCTTATCTGAAAATCTTATCTGAATATTTTATCAGAAAATCTCATCCGAATATATTGTCCAAATTAATTGTTTAGGTAAACAAATTTGTGAAAAAAAAAATGAATAGTACCCCCCCTTGCCATGGCAACTGCTGGAAGTGGAACTTACTTTTTGCAAGGGCAGACACTATTCCTGTGAATAGTGTCAGCCCTAGCCCCCCCCTTGCCATGGCAAGATTCCAACTGCTGGAAGTGCTCTAAGGTGGAGGTGGTTGCGAAGCGGTTAAGGGGGGGGCGGGGGGGGGGAGGGGTTGATGGGGCGACGTGAGGGCAATTCCAGCAGCAAGGCTGGGGCGCGGGCTGGGGGAGGTTTGGGCCAAAAAAGTGATTCCACCAACAAACGTTGGCCCGGGCAACAGGTGTACAGACTGGGCTGGCCCGACTTGGAGCCCGAGTTTTGGATGACGTCAACGCGCTACAATGCCGCCCATAGCCAACAGTCACGTGGTGTCGTTTGGGCTCTTCGATTGGATATTTTCCTCCAATCCAACGGCAGCGAATTTTTGTGCAATAAAATAATGAAAAAATTTTAAAATTTTAAAAAAAAAATACCCAAAAATTAATAAATTTTTTTCTATAAATACCAACCAATACTCTTCACTTTTAACACCAGATCCTCATACATTTTCGTCTCCTTCAACTATTATTCACTTTCTATTTAATATTTTTTCACTTTCAAGTTTTATTTTTCCGAAATCTTATCCGAAATTTTTTTCCGGTTACGAGATATGAATTTTATAATAAAGATTGACACGTACGAACCCAAAAATCTAATCCTAAAATATTTATTCAAATTAATTGTTTAGGTAAAAAAATATGTGAAAAAAATTAAAAAAATGAATAGTATTTGTCATTTGCCATGGCAACTGGTGGAAATACACATTGCTTTTTGTAAGGGCAGCCACTATTCACGTGAATAGTGGCTGCCCTAACTCCCCTCTTGCCATGGCAAAGGGCAAACTATTGGAAGTGCTCTGAGGAATTATTTTTTTCTTCTAATGTTATTTTATTTGTTTAATTAATTTCTAGAAAAAAAGGTATATAGAGGTGAGCTCCACATATTACCACGTCCTTATCTCAGGAAATAGCGAGGTGGGATAAAAAGACCATATTTAGTTAGAGTATTTAATTAAATATTTTATCCATTTGGAGGTGCACTTCACTTGCCACATCACCCACCCAATTGGTGGATACTGATCCATGCGTATAAAATCACAAAAACACCCATGTCACGTTATCAAAGTTAACAGACTTTTGGATGGAGTTGACAGCAAGGGCAAAGTGAGTCATCAAACATTGATCAATGGATGAAAGTGAGCCATTTTGAGTTTTTTTTTTTTTTTTTTTTTTTATTAAAAATTTATTAAAGGTTATTCTCTACTTATTATGAAAAGCAACTTTCAAAACAATCTAGAGGCTGCTTTTAAAAGCTATTAACAGGAGGCTATTGCTTTTAAAAAATAATAATAATAAGCATATTCTATTTTTACCAAATATCTTAAAATGCTTAACTTTAAAGTGAATTTTGGGGAAAAAAAAAAAAAAAAAACCCAAACCGAGCCTTATGCAAGATATACTATGAAACAAGCCGAATACATTTCCCAAAAAAAACACATATAGAATATTGAAGGACCTTTCAATCTTGTGCGTCAGCCCGAGGGTGAAAATAATGTCAATCAATCCAATGCACACATTCATTTTCATAGTCAAGTAGCCCGAAGGAAACCCTGGTGACTGAAGATATATAGCGATAATTGTGTGCTTCTTTCCTATTTTTCAAGGGTAAAGTGCCGAAAACCCTCCCGAACTATAACACTTGTCGAAATGTCCACTTTGAATTATTTTTTCAACCAATTTAGCCCTCATATTATTTAAAATGGTCAATTTAGCCCATGCCGTTAGTTTTCATGCAATTTCATCCAATTTTCCGTTTAAATGTCACATGGTAGGCACACGACTCACTGTTTAATTAAAAATTATTTTTTTTAAGTTTAAAATAATTAAATTTTAAAAACCCATTTTCACCGATAATTCTCTTCGGGCTAGAAAGCTTTCTGGCTCTCCAACCACCATCTACATCCTCCCAGCCTCTCAAACTTTCAGAACCTCTCCTTCTAGAATCCCCAGATTGGGTATCAATTTTAGGCTTAGCAGGCAACTCTGATGGGAAAAATGAAAGGTTATCAGAGCTAGTTGTCCTATAAAGACTGTTATTACACGAATCCTTACGATTACTCTGCATCAATGAGTAAATCCCACCACCATGATTTGACAAAGCGACTCCATCTCCAATTGGCTTAAACCGGCCATGAACTGACCTATTAGTCCCTTCTCCACAGTTCCAAATTTGATCATCTTTCCCAACCGAATACTCGTAATTCTCGGTCGAATTTCGCGTAAACGAGCAACTAGGGTTGTGGGCCGCCGCCTTCTGAAAAGGGTATAGGTTTTCTCAGAGAATCAGACTTGGGTACTAATGGGTTTCAATCAAAATCCGCAAAAATAGGAAACTTGGGTTCCCTCTCAGCTATCTCTGCGATAGTTCCAAACTTGATTTCCTAGAGAAAGAGTTTGTAGGGGCAAATTTGCTGACTTCCTTGGAGAAAGAGAGCTTTAAAGGTAAAGAAATCCTTATTTCTGCCAATTCAAACCAAGATCACAAATGGGTAGAGAGAGATTTCCTTAATTTGAACGAGATTAGGCTGAATTGCTCAAAGCAAGAGCTTGTGGAGGAGACTGAAAGAGAAAGCTGGGACAAGAAGCCAAAGCTCGAGACTTTGAATCTCTCTCTAGCCTTACCTGACTCTTTCTCACTGCTTCAAACGCCTTACAAAATGGTGACCCTCCAGCTATGCCAAGGCCTAGCAGAAGTGTACAATCTTTGGCACCCTCTACTAATAATACACATGATAGAAACCCTTCAACCTTAACTCAATGCCAAAGAATCAGAACTATTATTTCTTATTGAACTGGATTTACAAATACATGCCCTAGAATGAGCATAAGCCCACTAATATAATCGCTTCCCAGTTAAGCCAATAACAGCTACTAACTAACAAAACAAATTGCCAGCTAACTAACCAATTGCCTAACAAACCTTGCTAGCTCAGCTACATACTAAAAAGACCATATTAACCCTGAGAATCCTATCAATTACCCTCCCCTTTAAAACAGAATCCTTGTCCTCAAGGATCAAAATCTGGGAAACGAGCTAACATCTCATCATAGTCTTCCCATGTAGCCTCATATGTGGAATGATGCTGCCAATGGATCAAAACTTCAGTGGCTGCAGCATTACCACGCTTAACCATACGATGATCCAAAATAGCCATGGGATGATCCTGCACAATTCCAGTCTCAGTGATCACGGGCAGAATGGGAACAATAGTAACATCGGAACCCAAATGCTTCTTTAAACAGGAAACATGAAAGACAGGATGCAATTTAGAAGAGCTAGGCAGCTTCAAACGATAAGCAACAGTGCCCACCCGAGAAAGAACCTCAAACGGGCCATAAAATTTCGGCTGCAACTTATGGAAAGGATGCGAAGCCAAGGAAAGGTGCTGATAAGGAACCAGACGCAGATAAACCAAATCCCCAACTTGAAACTCCCGCTCAGTTCGATGCTTATCGGCTTGAACCTTCATACGAGTTTGGGCAGCCAGCAAATTAGCCCGTAACAGGGAGAGTACGCGATCCCGAGCAACCAAACTACGGTCGACAAAATCCAACCGAGTGGTGCCTGCCTCATAGACCGGCACTGTAGGAGGAGGCTGGCCATATACAACCTCAAAGGGAGTCATTTTTACCGAGACTTGGAAGGAAGTATTATAACTCCACTCAGCCCACGGAAGCCATTGGACCCACTGCTTTGGTTGTAAACCAGAAAAACACCGCAGATAAATTTCCAAACATCTGTTAAGCACCTCAGTGTGGCCATGAGTTTGAGGATGATAGCCAAAACTCAAGCACAATTTAGAACCTTGTAAACGAAAAAATTCCTTCCAAAACCCACTGATAAACACAGGATCACGGTCACTGATGATAGAAGTAGGCATTCCATGCAGCTTAAACACATTATCAACAAAAACTTGAGCTACTGTAGCAGCAGTATACGGATGGTGCAAGGCAATGAAATGGGCATACTTGGATAGTCGGTCGACCACCACAAAAATAATTGTCTTACCCTTACAAAGAGGCAACCCTTCTATAAAATCCATAGAAATGTCATACCAGACCCTATTAGGAATTGGGAGAGGCAGAAGCAATCCAGCGGGAGATAAAGTTTCATACTTATTTTGTTGACAGACACTGCATTCAGCAACCATTTTCTTGAGATCAAATTTCATGTCTTCCCAATAAAACCCTTGAGAAATCCTCTTATAAGTCTTCAAATACCCCAGATGCCCAGCCATAGGGGTGCTATGATGCTCATGGAAAACCTTAGGCCGCTAAGGAGAGGAGGGACTAAGGACAATGCGAGATTCATATTTCAAAAAACCATTGTCAATATGAAATTTGGAGGGGCCATTAGAACCCAAGGACCTAGACTTGGAAATAATCCAAGGGTCCTGCTCCGCATGCCGGCGTAAATCATCCAACCAACCCATATAACGATATGAAATAGCAGAAAGTTCCACCAAGGCCAAATGTGCCTCAGGAAGAACTGCAGAATCAAACAATCTGGATAATGCATCAGCTACTGGATTATCAATCCCTTGCTTGTATTGAATCTCATAATCAAAACCCAACAACTTAGCCACCCATTTTTGTTGAAAAGGAGTATTGGCCCTCTGGCTTAAGAAGTACTTCAAACTATGGTGATCCGTTTTAATGATGAAATGTCGACCATGAAGATAGGTTTGCCATTTCTTAATGGCATGTATAATTGCCATCATTTCTCTTTCATAAGTCGATAAAGCTTGATTTCGTGGACCTTAGCCTTGCTAGTAAAAGCAATAGGCTTGCCATTCTGCTGTAAAACAGCCCCAATACCATTGCCAGAAGCATCACTCTCAATAACAAAAGTCTGAGTAAAATCTGGCAGGGCTAGCACTTGAGGAGACAACATAAGTTGTTTAAGTTGGTGACATGCTGCTGTAGCTTCTGGAGTCCAATGAAACCCATCCTTCTTCGTTAATTGAGTAAGGGGGCCACTGATCTTGCCATAATTTGGGACAAATTTCCGATAATATCCTGTGAGACCAAGGAATCCCCTAAGAGCTTTGACAGACTTAGGCACAGGCCAATCCACAATAGCTTGAAGTTTAGATGGATCTGCAGAGACTCCTTCCTTTGAGACAACATGACCAAGATATTCAATTTGTGTTTGGCCAAATGCACATTTAGACTGCTTCACAAATAATTGGTGTTGTTGCAGCAGATCAAAGGCCAATTTCAAATGATGAATGTGCAATTCCCAAGAAGGGCTATAGACTAAAATATCATCAAAGAAGACCAAAATAAATTTCCTGAGATAAGGCCGGAAAACTTCATTCATGAGACTTTGAAAAGAGGCTGGAGCATTAGTTAAACCAAATGGCATTACTAAAAACTCGTAATGACCATCATAAGTTCTAAATGCTGTTTTTTCAATGTCTTGAGGATGAACCTTAATCTGATGATAGCCTGCTCGTAAGTCTAACTTGGAAAAATATTGAGCACCATGCAACTCATCTAACAACTCATCAATAAGGGGAATGGGATACTTATCCTTAATGGTGACCAGATTCAAAGCTCGATAGTCCATACACATCCTCCAGGTGTCATCCTTCTTCTTCACTAGTAAAACAGGAGAAGAGAATGGGCTGTGACTGGGTCTGATGAAACCTGCATCCAGTAATTCCTTCACACACTTCTCAATTTCATCCTTCTGGAAGGGACCATACTTATAAGGTCTGCTACTTGGAATCTTACAACCCTCCACCAAAGGAATTCTGTGATCCTGACTGCGAGAAGGCGGTAAAGTGGTAGGGGCATGGAAGATACTGCTATAAGCAGAGAGTAAAATATCCAAATCTTCTTGCTGAGAAACAGTTAACACCGCTGAAGAAATACTATCAGATGATTGTAAGAGACATAAAACCACTCCACATAAGCCATCAGTCAACAACTTCTCCATTTGAAGACTAGAAATGGCTTGAGGAACTATAGCTGGAGAAGGAGAACTAGCCAAACAATATGAATGCCCATTAACAGTAAACTCCATCTTCATACTAGCAAAATCCCACAAAATAGGCCCAGGGTACGCAACCATTGAGCACCCAAAACCACATCACACCCTCCTAAATTGATAGCAAAAAGATCAGTAACACACTGATAATCTTGAATCTTAATAAGAGCTTGAGAACAGACACCTTTACAGCCTAACTGACCTCCATTGGCAATCATGACATTGAATGACCGGGTAGCATCCAATTGCCACCCCAAACGTTTAACCAAGGCAGTATCCACAAAATTATGAGAACTACCAGAGTCAAACAAAATGATTACAGGGCAATTCTTGATAAAACCGGTTACCTTCATTGTCTGGCAAGACATGGGGGCTGGGGTACCCAATAAAGCACATGCAGTGACCTCCATCATCTGCAATTCAAGGTCATCAGCGACGGAATCAATTGCAACATCGACAACATCCCCATCATAAGCCTCAATCAATAACAATTGTTTCTTGGCACAAGTGTGGCCGCAGACGAACTTCTCGTCACAATGAAAGCACAAGCCTTTCTGTCGTCGAAGCTGAACCTCCTCCGGTGTAAGCCTCTTGATAGGAAAATCAGACTTAGGCGAAGCTGAAGGAAACGAAACAGAGGGTTTCGAAACAGAAACAGAAGCAGAGAAATGCAAATCTTGAAATTTAGCATCAACCTGCAGAGCAAAAGCAGCAGCTTCGTGAACAGTAGAGGGACGCAACAACTTAACATCATGTCGAAGCTCTTTCTTCAACCCCCCCCACAAAACAACTCTTCAGAAGAGAGGGACTCATATCCTTAGTACGATTAGCAAGCCGACGAAACTCCGTAATGTAAGCTTTGGGAGGACCCGTTTGGCGTAGTTTCACCAAAGCTTCAGCACAATCGTCAAACTCGGAGGGACCAAATTCTTGACAAAAAACCTTAGTAAATTCCTCCCAAGTAGGATAAGTCTGAACACAGTCGAGCCATCGAAACCACCGTAACGCTTCATTCTCCAACCATACGAACCTTCCGATCGTTCGGAACAGCAAAATAATCGAAGTAATGCTCTGCTTTGTAAATCCACCCCAATGGATCATCACCATCACAGAATCGAGGAAATTTGATCTTCATCAATGGCGGTTGCACGGGTCCGGGAAATGGAAAATCACGAGGACGATCACCAACGTCGTCATGAACAGGCGGGTGCAAGGTGGAATCAGAACGCTCGGAGCACTCTTTACGAAGCTGATCATACTTCGAATCCAAAGAATCAAATCGGTTCAAAAGCTCGGCAAGAAGGGCTTCAACGCTCTGAACACGATTATCCATGGAGTTATGGCGAGTCGACGCACGAGTCATACACGGAAGCACGAGAAGGGAACGAGAATCTGACTGGCCTGATACCAATGATAGAAACCCTTCAACCTTAACTCAATGCCAAAGAATCATAACTATTATTTCTTATTGAACTGGATTTACAAATGCATGCCCTAGAATGAGCATAAGCCCACTAATATAATCGCTTCCCAGTTAAGCCAATAACAGCTGCTAACTAACAAAACAAATTGCCAGCTAACTAACCAATTGCCTAACAAACCTTGCCAGCTCAGCTACATACTAAAAAGACCATATTAACCCTGAGAATCCTATCAACACAAACCACTTGTTCCAACGATTTCACAGCAACTTCACTATCGTACTCGTTGGCAAGGTCCTGGGTGAGGATGGTTTGGGCGATGGCCATAACCACGTTGCCAGCGCTGATGACGGAGAACTTGGTGTGGCGCTTGGTGGAGGAGGGAGAGGCGGCGCCAGAGATGGGCTTGAAGAAGGCCTGGGTTAGGTTGAGGCCGCTGGGGTGAACTGCTTTAAAATTTAATTATTTTAAACTTAAAAAAATTAATTTTTAATTGAACAGTGAGTCATGTGCCTACCATGTGACATTTAAACAGAAAATTGGATGAAATTGTATGAAAACTAACGGCAGGGGCTAAATTGATCATTTAAACTAATATAAGAGCTAAATTGGTTGAAAAATAATTCATAGTGGACATTTCGGCAAGCGTTATAGTTCAGGGGGATATTCGGCAATTTACTCATTTTTCAATGTGTCATAGTTCTAATATTTCTTGCTAGAGACCCAACAATTTTCTTTAGAGATCCAAAAAATAAATATTGTAAAAGTTGCAAGTAAAAAATAAAAAATAAAAACACCACGGATAGAGCAACCACTCCACCCTCTTCAATTTCGTTTCAATCTGTTAAGTTCTTTGCAGTGTAACAATGGTAGATTTGGAGCAAAGAAGTTCACGAAAGCAAATGATCAATTTCACATTCCTATTCCTATGCATGGTAAATCAAAACAATAAACGACAATTTTGCGTTTAGTTCTTCTTCAATTTATCTAACACACACCCACCAGACACGTCCCCCAAATTTAAAACTTTCTGAGCATCCAATATTGTGAAGCATTAGGGTGGGACACATATGAACATATGAATCAGAAAACGCATTAATTGATACTTTTTTTTTTGGTTTTTTGAAAGGGCATACTTTGAGTCAAGTCAAGTGTATGGAAGACTCCAAGCTTTGTATAATGGAGAAAAGAAAAGTGAAAAGTTACTTACTATACGAATAGGGAAAAGCTACCATACATATAGGAAGAAAAATACTTATCTCTTTTCCTGGAAGTAGGAGTAAAAAGTTGTTAATATAGGAATATTATTGGTTTTTATTTTTATTTTCTTTAATATGAAAAGTTGTTAATTTATCATATGCTCCTTATTTAATGAAAAATATTTTTGATATGGCTTAAATGCGGTTTTGCCCCCTGAACTATACCATAATTGTCAATTTGCACCCTCGATTATTTTTTTGGTAAATTAAGGATACGAATTTGTTAAACATAGAGAATAAGGTCCCTACCGTCAAATTTTGACTAATTTCATCCATTTCTCCGTTACCCTTCCCACGTGATGCACATGCAACCCCTTTTAGAATGGCAAAATCGCCACTTCACCCTTCACTTCGACTAAATCCTCCCCAATTAGCCCTAGAGCCCCAATTTTGTAACCCAGAATAGTGGTGGTGCTGAGATGAGGCCCGAGACATCAACCTCAAGTGAACGTGTTGGAGTTGTGTTGGGAAGATACTATAAATGTCAAAAAGAGGCATCAATAAGGACATCATGGACAAATTTAAACCCTGGAAGAAGGTTCTATGTTTGTGGCACGCAAGGGGTGAGTTTTATGATGCTTTTAGTTATTTGAATTTGTTCTTTTCTTTTATCCCATTCTATGACTAATGCAGAGAGGTCCCTTCTCAAACTCGGCTGAATACTCCTGCAATGTGGACACCTGACCGAAGCTTAGATGGTGTAATTTGGGGGAGTGGGCGGACCCAGAAATGTGCTATCGTTCCAAGCAGCTATAAAAACATCAAAATATGAGCAGTTTTGAACTACTCATTGTTCAAAAGAGTATGGATAGGAGTTTATCTATAAGCTACTGGGTGGTGGAAGGGGATTTTTCTTTTTTGACATGTCTATTGGAAGGGGATTTACCTCTTGCTGGCTCTGCTATACAGGTGGCGTATGTTCTTTCTTCTCCTCTGTAGGCGTTTTAACTCTGTTGGCATAAATTTAGAAAATGGCAAGTGTTAGTGTTGATAAATGGAAAATTTGAGTGAGGGCAATAACTATTAGGATAGAATTAAGTTATAAAAAAAATCCAACAGGACAAACAACAATTTAGATACATCAAGCATTCTCTTAATCTGATGGACTAAAATATAAGCTTAATCTATTGAATCAAATGAAAACAAACGAAGAACAATTGTGACAATTTATTAAATAGGTATAAGAGAATTAAGCCAAAACACTTAAGCTTTAATAGAATCAAATCAAGGGGTGTTGACTCTGTTGCTATAAATTTGGTAAATGGTAGGTGTTAGTGTAGACAAATGAGAAAATTTTAGTGAAGAGAATGGCTATTGTTACATAATTAAGGCCAACAACATAAACTGTACAAACCACAATTTAAATAAACTATGAAAATCTAATGACCTATAAACAGAAATAAGATAACCTAATGACTTGATGAGCAAGTTTGTTACAGAATTAAGATAATCTAATGGAGAAGTAAGTATAGAAGCAGTGATAATCTATAAATAGCTATAGGCTATAGAAGCAGAATAAAGAGAGAAATAATAGGCTATAAGTTATAATTTTGTTCAATACATTTAAAACATCTAATAAGGATATTGTGAATCTTAAGTTTTGTTCAAATTGAACAAAGGGAAATGTTCGCTATGTCAATAATTACTTTGCTTAGTTATTTTCTTTAGACCTGGCAAAGGATGACTTAGAAGGCATACAAAAAGAAAACTGATTGGGAAAACTTGTATGCAGCTTCTTTGCACATTCAAGTGCTTAAGCTAGGCCAATGAAATGAAAAAGGTTCATGCCTTCAGCTGCTATTGTTATTATTGTTTTATGTGGGTTTCCAATATCTTGGGAATTATACCAATTCTATTTTTATAGGTCATTCAAGCAATCATTCTTTGTTATTAGTGATTTCTGAATCTTGTGAGCGAGCATAAACTAAAGGGGAAAAAAATTGCACATAACACAAATGCTCTCAAATTCATGTCATAATTGCAAAAAAATAAAAAAACTACATGAGGCAAGAGCATCCACAATGGACTCCCGAAACCATCTCCTTAGACAAAATTTAGGGAGGAAGTGAGAAACCTCACCTCCAACCATGCTCCCTATCCAACTCCTAAAATAGGGAGACCTCTAGGAGCTCCTAAATCTGAGAAGAGAGAAAGGACTTCTAGTGGCTCCCTATAATTAAATGTTGTTTGGCTCCCTATAATTAAATGTTGCTTTACTTTAATGCTATTTTAACTATTTATTTAATATCAACTATTTATTATTATTATTTTATATAAAGAGGAAGCATTTATGCTAAACTAAAAAAAGAAATAAATCATTTATGATTCTCTAAACTAGAGAGCATGGTTAGAATTGAAATTTTATAAGGAGCTCCTAAAATAGCTTTCTAGTGTTTTTATCTAAATCTTAACTAAAACATAAGAAGCATGATTGTGGATGCTTTAAATGAATAGAGGAGAAAGCTTTTCGAAATTTAAATTTAAACTACTTATCGTTATAGTAAAACTTTGAATAGAAAAGTTTCGAAATTGAAAAAACAAAAAAAAACAATGGAGTAATTACACTGGCATCACAAAGCAGATAGCTAAAGAAGCAATGAAAATAAGAAATCTTTCAATAGAGATATCAAAAAATGACATCGTAAACTCAGTGCACACAAACACAGATAACCAAACAGCCAAATTTTACATGAAAGATTTCAAAAAATTTAGAAGAATGGAAAAGTATTGATATGTTCTGAATTTTAGTTAAAGAGAGGACCTACTTGAAGGGGTAAGGTACATGGTAGAAATATAATATTTGAGGGGGTAAGGTACAGTCTACATTTCGTTGATGAAGAGAGGACCTACTTGGTCTAAACAAAGATATTCTTTTGTGACATGAGGTTTGGCATAGTCCAAATAATTCGGTCTTTATCCAAATTTTAATTTTATGAATATAAGCCACAACAACTTGTATGGAGAAATCTCACTCAACTGGGGACAATGCCCAAAGCTAAAAACCATACTAATGGCAGGAAACAACCTTTCTGGTAGCACATCACCTGAGATAGGCAACACAACCCAAATTCATGTGTTGGACCTTTCTTCAAATCATTTAATGGTTGAGACAAATGCGAAGATTGCCATTAACGACATCGTCTCTGGCAATGAGGCTTTTGGGGTTGCTAGGGGAATTATCAACGACATCCACATTGTAACATCCCGATCCAATGTTTAATTATTTATTTAATTTATATAAATTAATTGAATTATTTAATTATAAAATTATAATTTTGCCCTCGGAGATACGGTCATTTTAGTCACTTTTTAATCCAGTAAATTTTTGGGGTTATGAATTGTACCGTTGCATAGAGCGCTTCGTTATGAGTTCTTAGACATGTAGTGGGCTCAAATCGGAGTTGTAACGAAGAAGTTACGATCAATGGAAGTGCAGTGGCACAACCGTAAATAACTCGAAGTTGGATTTTTCAAAAACTCAGATTTCTCTCTCTCTCTCTCTCTCTCTCTCCACCGATAATTCTCTCTCTCATGCGAAACCCCTCCCCTCTCTCAAGTCGGCCACTATTTGGCCGACTACTGCCCACGTCCGGCCACCATAGGTACCAAAGTGACCAGTTCACTTCCCTCTCTCCGACCCACCCCACTTTTGACAAACCCCGCAACCACAGCCGCTGGAAAAAGCCCAAAACAGGCCGGTTTTCACTCGAAACTTCCGATGTCATTTCTGGTGATTTCGGCTACCAAATTTGTCGGTCCACATCATCTAGCTGATGGTTGGGTTGGTTAGGATTGATTTTGAAGTTTTGAAACTCGTTTTACAACTCAAAGTTTTGGCTAGTTTTCGGCTCAACTTTCTGGCAAGTTTCGGTCACTTTTTGGCCGTGGCCCAAGAACAAAAGTTGCTCCACTAGTTGTCCTAATCATGTCGGTATAGGTATTGTTAGGTGTTTCAAGAATTTTCATATCGCAGGATCGAGTAGGAATTCGCAGATCGAGAATGGGAGTCTAGGATGCTCCGATTCAATGACTTAAAGTTTGAGTAAAACGGTGACCGTCTGATCGTGCGACCGCGAGCGATTAGAGCTTTAGATCTGGACCAAACTTCCAGGACGTGTTTAGTAAACTCTATTCAACCCGTATGAACTTTTGGATTGGAAATCGGAGGCTGTGGGCCTTGCGGGCCTGGTTGACCAAATTTGGGAAGTTTGACCACTCGGTTGACCGAGCATCTTCCGAGGTTATCCCACCATTCGAAACACGTAGTTGGACCTTAGGAATTCCTCAATTGTCGTTCACACACTTGGAATCCCGGGAAATGTAGGAATTTATTTTTAAGTTCTCTACCGAAGTATATTAATTAATCTAGTGTTTGTATTCTTCAGTAGGTATTTCGGCCCAGTGTACTCAACAGGCAGAACCCTCTCAAGGTCAAGCAACGTTGGATTATCTGTTAGTGGGCTTTATTTTAAATAATCATCATTATTTTCAAGGATGGAACAATATGCATAATAAGTTATTTGATTTATGAGTTGTTATATTTAAATGTTGACATATAATATTTTTGTAAATTGTGATTATCTTGTATTGTTAAATGCTATATATTTTGAGAGATACTATCTATATTGGGATATGTGTTGGGTACATGGGGTTGTTGGTAAGAGGTTGTGCAATGAGAGTGGGTTGTGGTTTATGCCAGTTTGGAGTGCTATTAGCACTACCCTATGTACCTCCCCGGCTCTTGAATATTTGGATTGGAAACATAGTGATATGTGAACCACCCATATTTCTGAAACCATCAATACTTTAGTCCTTATTCATTATCAATGTTATAAAAAAATAAAAATAAAATGACATAAACAAGAGAGTCACAATGTCATCATGGCCAATGAACTATTTCCCTCAGAGTAGTCACACACTTGCATCAGAGTCACTGCACTGATGAATAGAGAGTCATCATCCTCCTAATCGAGCAAGCACAAAAGTATGCTAGTGTTTATGTGGATTCATTAATTTCTAGTTGATTATCCTCTTGATTATGAGCAATTTAGAAATCAAGTTGTTGATATACAAAATGTCTTAGGCCAATTGGGTCTAGTCAAGTGGAAAAGGGCCTTGATTTGCATACTAGTGATCTTAGGCTCGAATTCGCATAGCACCTTAGCAGTGTGTGTGAGAAAACCCTCATTCCTCTTCTTAACTTTGGCAAAAAAAGAAGGTTACAAAAGATCTCGGCACTTTAAACTCCACTTTAGTTCTTGCATAGATTGCCCTCCGTAAACTTTATTCATGCAACCACATATAGGGGCAACTCTCTCCCTATCTAAAGACCTAATCTTCGATGGGAATTTCAACATAACCTAAGCTCCCACAAATCTCACAATAGTAATAGTATATCTGTTAAATACCTATACATATGAGTGTGTCTTTATTAAGGACTAAAATCAATTACTTCAACTAGTTTTAATAAATAATATATATTCTTATTGAAGGATGAAAATCTAAATAACCCATTAACATTTATTTCTGATTTTTCCTCCAGTCCATACGAAAAAGAATGTTTTTTTTACATTTAAATATATATATATATATATATATTCTTATTGATAAATTATGCCTTAGATATGCCAGATGATGATTACACATATAATAAATAATCCCTGCAGGCGTGATCCAGTGATAGAATATCACATAAATTGATGATGAATAATTAGGATCATTATAACTTTAATCTCTGGGGTTTACAATATTTAATTTAAAGAGCATTAACTTTACTCTTTCTGCGTGACCCAAAAAAAAAAACTTTAATCTTTTTGGCGGCAAGCACTTTATCTTCACTCAGTTTGGCGAGTTCAGTAAAAACCACGACTGTACTTAAGTATTAGAAGAATTCTACTAAAATGACGTAATTTATATTTCCATCATTTCAATTTTTGGCAATTGAAGATTTTAGTGTTTGGATTTATATATGTCGAATTTTCTAAATAACATAATTTTGTAAATGGCATTATGGAAATTAAACTCGGGAATTTGATACTCTAATTTCCCCGATTTTTTCCACGAGTCATTTATTAAATTATATGATTAAGTTACCAAACAAGGGAATAGTCAACTTCTCCTTTTTAAATTCCCGACTTTTAGCTAAATTCTGAGTTATTTTCCCTTATCCAAACGGAGGTATTTCTTATGAAATGCCAAATGTAAAGAAATTAATTTGAGGAATTTTCTTCGGCAAAATAGTATGAGCAATTTTCACTAATAATTGTTTTGTTTGACATGTGTGCATAAATTGTTCTTTTTGAGTTTTCAATAAATTATTTTTATATATGTGTCAAATAGCATGAAGGAGGACTTCTTCGAAGGGACGAGGGCAAGGAGTGTTCATAACCAAACGGCTATTCAAAATGGTATTTAAGCAAAAGAAGAGCGCCAATTCTTCTTACTTATAGGCGTGTGGTGTCTGGCCAACTCCTTAATAATGGGAAAGGGAATTGGATTAACTTCAAGAGCAAGGAAGTAATTGTCTTTTTTCTTTATGTCTTTTCTGTCTTGTTTTGTTTTTTTTTAGTTTTTGGTCAAGAAATTATAATAAGTGACGTAATATTTAAGCTACGTAAGAACAGTTAGTACTATTAGCTAAGTCTATAAATAGGTCTTTATCGAGTTGTCAATGGCAACCTCCAACTGTGTTGTTAGTTTGAAGCTCCTAATTGATACAAAACGACAAAAGGTTTTGTTTGCTGAAGCAGGCAAAGACTTTGTGGACTTTCTTTTCACTCTTTTATCTTTGCCTCTTGGCACTATCATTAGGCTTCTCTCCAAGGATGAAATGGTTGGCAGCTTGGGAAGGCTTTATGGGAGCCTTGAAACCCTGAGTGACATATACATGCAGCCTAACCTTAACAAGGACACTCTCCTCAAACCAAAGGCTCAAGCTGCTGGACAACAACCTAGTACTTTCCTTATTAATATGCTCAAGTTGTTGGAATTTTAAAAAGGTTTTCAAAATTTAACTATTTTATTTATTTAATTATTTTGGCTGTTTTATTTTATTTATTGTGGGGGTTATAAATATTTAATATTTAGGTTTTATTTATATATTGAATGCCTTAATTTTCTGGTTAGTGAAGGTTACATGCTATTGGATGCCTATAAAAGGTCACTCCTCCTTCACATTTGAACAACCACAATACACCATCAGAATATCACATACCACAATCACCACCACAAACTAATTCTCTCCTTTTCTACTTTTATATATATTCTCTACTTTGTATTATTATTTTAGCAATGGTTCTGGGACTTGGATATCTATATCCGTCTATGAACATGCTCATAGTGGATCTTGAGTTTGTGTACAAGGGGTCATATCTTGGAGTCTTGTAGACCATCAATACCTGCACGTAGGGAGGCTACAAAGGCTTTAGGACAACGTTTTTGACGTGTTTCACCGTATTCACCTTCTTACGTATTATTTATTTTGCTTTTACTTACCTATTATTTTGTTTTCTTAAATTTCATTGTACCTTATAACTTTCCAATTTGTTTATAAGTTATTTATAATATATATGTTTTGTGTTTGGCTTTACGGAAAAGGAAAACTATAATTTTTATAACATATTCGACTAGTACTAAATAGATAATCTTCACAATAAAGATCAAAGATAATGATATTGAAGAAATCTTCACAATAAATCATGACATCAACGAATCAAAGATAGAGAATCTAAAGGAAAAATATGATTATGTAGAAGATATGCAATTGAGACAAAACCATATTAAAATAGAGAATCTTTACATTTTTTAAAACAATGAAAACTCATTTTCTCCCCATGAACTCTCTCACCTAAAAACCAGAGCAAAATTTGCCAAATATGAGAGTTTGGTACCTCTCTTTGCCCAGAACCAACGTTTTAACAAGAATTGGGCAAGCCCCAGGGACACTTGGCAGCAATCCATTTGTGTTAGAATAGGACAAAGTGTTAGGTGAAGACCCACAGCTGAGAAGACCAAATCAGGTGAAAACTAAAATTAACCAGACAGTATCACATGATCACTTAAACTGAATCGTCAAAATACGTACACAAAAAATTAGTGCGGATGACTAACGAGAGTGCACTAGTCATCTGAGTATAAAAACAGCACGTTTTATATAGAATCTAGTGCAATGCATGAACTAGTCACCTAGGAATAAAAACTGCCAAAATTAAACAAGAATGTCATGCCAATGCATGCTTTACCTTCGGAGATGAGTTTCTCAGCTTGTATCGACCTTGAGAATTAAAACGAGGCAAATTAGATAAAACTGTCGTCTTATTATGAGTTGATACCAAAAAAAAACCACCTAGATTTCTCTCTCTCACGTTCATTTCAAATAAGATGACGATTTTATCTTTAAAACTTGTATTTATTCCCACACCACGTTGGTTGTTAAGAACAGCCGTGCTATTGAAATAGAACGAATTTAATTACTGTCGTGGTGTGTGAATAAAAATGTCAAATATAAGACAAAACTGTCGTCCTCACACGACCTGAGAGTGGGACTACTAATTTTTGTTCAAACTAGTAAAAGATTTCATCCTTTTCAAACCTGAGTCTTGTTTCAAACGAGTGAAAGATTTTGTTCTTTAAAAAAATACTTCAAATGATATTGAAAAAAGAAAAAGAGAGTGAGAAAATATCTTTGGCTTGCAAAGAAAGTTTTCTTTGGAGTTTTGGAGACGAAGACAAGGAAGAGAGTGAGAATCAGACATGCAGCTTTTGGGAAATGAGAGGGAAACTAAGAGGAAACTGAAAATTTTTATCGGTTAGAGAGAACGTAAAAGTTTAGGTCAGGTGACGAAAAAGTATTTATATTGTCCCAAAGTTCAATAAAACGACGGTTCTAACAAAAACTGACCTAGTATGTACTTACCATGACATTATAATAGTAGAAACCAACGCGGTAAGTAATAAAGCCAGTTGACTTTTGGTGTCCGAAAACGACGTGTTTCTCTAGGCACTACACGTCAAAAGTTTACTTTTGAAGAAGTGATATTATAAGGTACCACGTCATCTTTTTATTCATAACCGATGTTGTTTGTCTTAAAGTCGTTGAATTTAGTTTACCAAACTGACGTGGTTATTTCTATTTATACGACCACAATGTATTACTCACCGATGTGGATTATTAAAATTAGACGTTGCTGCGTGTAATAGAACCGACGTGGATAGTGAAGATTATTTGTATAAATAGGGTTTTTTTCACGCGTTCTTTCAGATTCAGTTTTCAATTAGGGTTCCAACTTCTTCTTGCCCTTGGCTCTGTCTCGCCTCTTTGGAGGCAATAGTTTGGATGTTGATGTGTGTGCGCGTTTTTGTATCTGAAAGACAAAAGCACGCACACATCATCAACTTCTAAAAAATTGTCTTGCTGAAAGCAAATGTTTTGTATGTTGATGTGTGGCTGTCGTCGTAAAATTTTAGAGGCAAATTTTTGGATTTTGATGTGTATGTGCCTTTGTGTATCTCAAAGACACAAAGACACATACATCATCAACGTCTAAAATATTGTCTTTCTCTCACATTTGTGAATCGATTATGATGAGGAACCAAATTCCCAATGGTCAGATTTCATTCTAATTTTCTTGTTAAGATAGTTTTCTATATAAACCGTGTTGGTTATTACAATTCTTGTCATTATGTTGATCTATTGTCGTAGGCTACAAAAAACCCAGAAATAAATCTTCAAAAGAAATAAAAATTAAGACGTTGATTTACAGATAAAGTCACACGTATAAAGAAAATAAATATGATCACGGTATTTTTAAGTTCATGACGTGGTAAAGTAATATTATACGTCGTTAACTGAACAAACTGACGTGATTAGTATAACTTACCCAGACATTAGAGTAATAGATACCGTCGTAGTACACTTTGACGATAAATTTATCTTTACGGTCGTGGTACATTGACTTAATACAACATAGTTTTGTAGTATACCCACGTGGATTCTTTTGAAATTATACGACGCAGACTAAGAAAATTTGGTCGTGTTTATTTAGGAGTTAACACGGCGGTTAATGTTGAAAACCGTCGTCTTCACTTTCTACATTGGTGGCTTCATCATTGTTGTCGTTGTTTTTGGGCTCAGAGTTTAACTTCGAACAAAACTTTTTCAATAAGACGACACTGTTTTAATTTGGTGCATCGTTTTTTTAAAAACATCCATGGGAATCATCATTTTTTAGGTGTTTAAATTATTTATCCATGGGCTTCCAAATACATTCTTTAAGAGATAGACCTATTTTTTGGTCCATTTACAAAATATGGTACAAACAATAACACGTTGGACCAAGCAAAGCAAATAATAATCCATATGTATCAAGTTAACCAAACAGATTCAACAACGAAAGTGTGAAGGAGAAGCGCTGTAAATTGTCGAGTCGTTTATTGCTTTGATTTACTGTACATAGGAATAGGAATGCGTAATTGATGGTTTGTTTTGTCGTTTATTGGATAATCATTGTATTTCAGGACAGTCAAGGGCAGCACTTGGTGGCACGAAACAGACAAATTGCCTGTATCATTATTAGAGCAAAGGAAGGGAAATGAGGTGATGTCATGTCCCTTCCAAGAAAATCACAGCTAATCTGTTGAGAGTAACATAGACGTTTCCTTAATTGAGTAGATCAGTAAATACGTTTAGCATGTGGTTAAATGAATTGAGAGTCAAAGAGATAAAGATGGATTAATTGTAATTTAGGTTCATCTATTAGCATTAAATTTGGGGGATGAAACATTAGCTAGAAGGAGGACCTGTGTTTCTTCAGTTGTATCAAGTAGTATGAAAGTTCGATATGAGAATAAGAGTTTATGGCAGTTTTGGTTCTTCTATTGAAACGTTGTTGTTGGACTTTTACCTGCCTCAAAATCTAGTAAGCTATTTAGAACACGCAAAATGTGTATTTGTTTTCACAAACTTTACCTTGAAGTACCAGTCAAATAAGCACACAATTTATCATTCCATTATCACACAAATATGATTAATGCCATTAAAAAATCACATGCGAGATATCAAATTCAATACTGGAATTCATTCATACAGAAAGGATACATTCAATATTAAAATTGGAAAGTCTGCATGTTTTCCCTGAACTGTAGTGAAATGAGGTTGATACTTGAGTGCCGTTTTCTTCTTCCTATTATTACGATCCATGAGTCAAGAATACGATTTCTATCATATATTTATAGATGTTTAATTGAACCATGTAAATATTCAAGTTTACCCAACAAATTTCATATAGAGAGGCTGCCCAAGACGAAGTAATTGAGGTTAAATTTGTTTTCTACAATTTTGTTTGCCATAAATAATTAAGACATTAATGTGCAAAACATTTTTGTTAGTTGAACTTGAGATTTGCAGGGTTTAAATAGAAACCTATATATTCGTTGTCTTTATCCCTTGACTTGGCTGCTATTGAGAGTTTGAGAGGCCTTAGAACGAGCGTTTTCATTGGTTTTAACTAAGAATTGACAAGATAACTTATTAAAGGAGCCATTCAACTCAATGCACATGATTGGAAAACTAATTCAATTATGTTTGTTTTTTAGTATGCACAGCTTTCTCATAGACTTTTCTCTGATCAATGGTCCCTCCACTTTGATGTTTTTGGGAGAAAAATATATTGGAATTACATACTGAAATGAAATTGATGGAAAGTGAGAGGTTACTATTTGCGTGACATAGGGGTTCAGAATTGTCCCACCTGCATGCCTGACACTATGTCACATGGTATATCGTAGGTAACAAGCTTCAACAAATGCAGCCTCTCCGAATAGAAAGATTCTAAGAAAGGTTTTTGTCATGAATGGTCCTTGAATTTTTCAAAAGTCCTCATTTGAATTCTCAAACTTTCGAATCAATCAATGTGATCCTTAACCCTCTGTTTGGATGAAGAAATTCAAACCCTGAAAAACAAAGGAAAAACATTACATATGTTGCTCAACAAGGCT